AAAAAACCTAGAGCCGGCCCTGTGCTTTCTAGTGCCTCAGTTGATCTCACAAGGCATTCCCCTGCCTGTCTCCTGCAGGGTCGTTAATTCCAAGTCCTTCTCCCAGCATTTTCAATCAGTTTGGCATCACCCAAGAGTTCTGAAGAAACTCAAATATGACATTGCAGAACTGCTAAATGTAGCAGGTCACTTACCGCTTAAATCAGCCTCTGCCCCAGCTGACTGGAGGGTAGCTAACGTGACGCTGGTTTTTAAGAGAGGCTCCAGAGGCGATTCTGGCAATCACAGGCCGGGAAGCCTGACTTCAGTACCAGGCAAGCTGGTTGAAACTATAGTAAAGAACAGAATTTATCAGACACATAGATGCACCTGCTCTACTGGGGAAGAGTCAACATGGTTTTAGTAAAGGGAAATCATGCCTCACCAATCTACTAGAATTCTTTGAGGGGGTCAGGAAACATGTGGACAAGGGGGATCCAGTGGATCTGGGACCTGGACTTTCCGGGTAGTTCTGCACTGCAATACCCCTGGGTGGCTTGTGTCGCTGACTTGGTCTCATGGGGCTTGGGCTCCAGCCCAGACTCTGGAACATCCCCCCCGTGAGGCCCAGAATCCGGGCTCCAGCCCGAGCCCGAACGTCTTCGCTGCAGCTTTATAGCCACAGCCCAAGCCCTGCGAGACTGTCAGCAGATGCAGGTATTTTACTGCAGCGGAGACACGCTCAGAAAGCCTTTCACAAGGTCCCTCGCCAATGGCTCTTACACCAAGTGAGCTGTGATGGGATAAGAGGGAAGCTCCTCTCATGGGTTGGTAACTGGTTAAAAGACAGGAAACAAAGGGCAGGAAGAAATGGTCAGTTTTCACAGTGGGGAGGGATGAATAGTGGGGTCCCCCAGGGGTCTGTACTGGGACCAGCGCTACTCAATATATTAATAGATTATCTGGGAAAAGGGTAACCAGTAAGGTGACAATGTTCAGTGTCTATACGCAACTCGTTACCTATCTCCATACGCCCATGGCCAGTACAACACAGGCGTTCAGTAAAGACCTCACACCACATCCCTGGGCGAACTCGTATGTAGCTACTGTTGTACTTAAAGTACTGCACAGGATCTTTTCAGGGGGAATAAGACAAAACGCC